AGTGAGCGGCGCGCGCGGAGCAAAAAAACACGTGTTTTGGAGGTTGTTTTTTTGGTTCGGTATGCTGTCCCTGCCTCTGGGGGCGCATCTATAAAATGTTTATAAAACAGAAGTGTGAGTGAGTGAGCCCGGGGCGCGCGAATGGAGCAGCAAAAAAAAAGGCGCATTAGGCTTTTTCTTTTTGGCTGGGTGTGTTGCCCCTTCCCTTTGGAGGCGAATTTATGACATATTCCCATTAAAAACCGTGAGTGAGTGAGCGGCGCGCGCGGAGAATGGTGCTCCGGCGTGAAGCGTCCGTGTATTTTGGTTTAAAATCGCATTCTGGCAGGGAGCGTCATCGAATTTTGGCTGGTCAACGCGCGGAGCAAAAAAAACCGCTCCCACGGGCTTTTTTTTTTTTTGCTCCGCGTGCTCCGAGGCATCTGATGAGCCCAATTGCATGGCGCGCGAAAAAAAAAACACGCAGAACAAAAAACACGCAGAACAAAAACACATGCGGAGCAAACACACAATCTTACCGAGGATGGGTTCCGTTTGGATGGCGACCGATCGCTACACGGGCCAAAAGATGGCTGTGAAAGAGGCGGGCCAAAGCTAATTTTGGGGCTCAAGTGCTTTTGGAGCGGGTGGCTGAGTCGAAGCAAACAATCCTCAATGATCAGTGGTGCTACTTGTTACTTGCACGTTTGCCACAGCCTTGAAAGATGGATACGGATCCGTGCGTGCTTTGTGCTGAATGTGCTGACACCGAGACCTGCAACGAAGCAACCTTCCAACAACCTGTAGGTGATGCTGGATAGAACAGATGAGGGGGAGAAGCGCGCCCCGCTATGCGTGGAACGAGAGGTCTCGCTGTACAGGACTGATGCTGGTTTGTGACCGATGGGGGATGTGGGCCGCAGGGCTTGTAGGTTTGTGGCGCTTCAGAATCACACAGGATTCTATGCGAGGGCTTGGAGATGTGGATTCAAGATGTGCTGTGGACTCTGGCCTTATCCCTGGTCCGAAGGAAGCTCAACCATCCCAACATCGTGGCCTTCTTTGGCACGGAGAGCATTGGCGAGACCATGTACATTTTCCTGGAATACATGCCAGGCGGTTCCTTGAGCCTTGCTTGAAACTCCGCGCCGCGAATCCCTACCGGCTATTGAATCCTGGATTTCGAGGGACAGGGACTTTGAGAAAATGTTCAGGCCCTGATTTGTTGAGATTCAATGGGACAGAGCCCACAACAGCAGCGTCGTGAACTTCATGTGAGATTTTCTGGGATGTTACTATTCGGAGCTCTGATCCCCGCACAGGAGCACAATCAGGAGAGGTGTTGTTTTCTACGTTGCAATCGGCACCTTAGATGGCACCAGTTCATAACATGGTTAATCATGTCCTCAGAACACAACGGCGACGTACGCAGGCATTGTGTGATGCTGGAATCCCCTGCGAGTCTGCTAGTCTTGGCAAAGGAGCGAGCAGTTCCGTTGATCGCGCCTTGTCACGTTTTTCTTGCCACTGCTCGTAGATCAGGCATAAAAGCGTACGTACTTGAAGCTTCGCTTCAGTGTTGAGCATGAGCAGCCAAATTTCTGGAGCCCAGTTTAACTGTGGGTCCACAATTTTCGAGGCTCTCTGGGCAGCGACCCAGAATCACTCCAAATTTAAGTCCTGAAAACTCACTCCTCCCCCACGAAATGCATCAACTAGATTCTGAAAAGGATTGCTTGCCGCCCTTTGAGGAACCGCCTTCTGTCACAAAGAGGGGCTTTTGAGGAGCAGGAGATTGCGAACTACTCGCGCCAGGTGGGCAGGAGTTTAGGATTGACTCTTTGCAGGTAGGAGGGATGGGATGAAGGAAGGTGCTGCCGCTCTTGACACCAGTGGCAGACGCGCAGCAGACGCACAGTGCAAAAAAGACATGAGATGACCAATCAGCACGGCGCCGAGCAAATACTAGGGCGGAGCGGTACGGCAATTGCCAGTAGAAGGATGAAGATAACACGGCGCGCTGTACTGGACTCTAACCGAGCTCAGCGATGTCCCATGCATTTCCAGGTGCTGGAAGCCCTTCATTACTTGCACACACGCAAGCCATCCATCCTCCACCGAGACGTCAAGACCGCCAACATTCTTCTAGGCGTGGCTTCAGGGTTCCAGTGCGTGGCTCTGAGAAGTGCAGGGGTCAGACTTTTCCGTACCTTCTGCCAGTTTTCATGTTATCCTGTTAGCCTATGCGACCCTGTGGGATGGACTCTTTGCTGCAGGCTTGCTTTGCGGATAGTGTCATAGTCCGGTCATAGCGATCGACACAAGTCATGGATTACGTCTGCAATCAGGCTGTAAACTCAGGTTTTTCGGGGAAAGTGGTAGATTCATACGCCCTAACTTCACAAAGCCAAAAGAAGGAAGGAACCATGGGGGGCAATTTGAACCTGGGTTTGAAACCTGGGGTTCGAGGCTCACCTTCGCAGATTCCCTAGAGCCAAAGGTCATGAATCTCATGGGATCAAGCCTAGTCACTGCCAAGCCTGAAAGCAATCCCCATGAAACGGGTTGATGCAGATAGGAGTCTGCAATTACCGCTTGAAACCTAAGCATGGCCGGCAGACCACGATGGCGTCGTCAAGTTGGCAGACTTCGGATGCTCGAAGCGTGCATCAGGAAATGCTGTGCATACCCTCCGAGGTGCCTGGAGCCTCTAATCAACTTTTCACGGCGGAGCATAGGTTGGGGGTCTTGAAGGCGCCTGCAATCGGGCAGGACTTGCATGTGCATGACAGTATACACTTACTACCTATGACTGACGCAGAAGGGGGTACAGTGTTCGTGGTTCCGCGGCAGAAGCCTGCCTACAAGGGGATACAAGTATTGTATCATGCTGTCATAGACTCGTAGATGTCACAGCCACCCTCCGGCACCTGAGGTTCTGTGCAGTGGATGGCGCCGGAAGTGATTAATCAGCAACCCTATGGATGCAAGGCGGATATTTGGAGCTTTGGCTGCGTCCTCATTGCACCCTGGCAGGCATCAAAGCAAAAAGGCCCTCTTGTAAGCTACAAGATGTTGTCTCATGCTTTGGATGCTGCGTAGCCTCATGAAAGGAAATGCTTACGACCCGACCTCCGTGGGGTCACTTCGAAACCAACGTGGCCGCAATGATTCATGTGGCGACCAGCAAGGAGCAACTAGCAAGTGTAGGACTCCTGTTCAGAGTAGGCTATGGGAGTCTTCATTGGATGCCCTTTGCGCTAATAACCGCTAACGTGATAGGGGTCGGATGTGGTAAAATGAAATCTAGGCTGTTGTTGGCCCCGGCGGTGGAGAGTGAACCCAAAAAATCGTATGACAGTAGATGATCAGTTTGGGTGTTAGGCCGACAGGATTCATTTCGATGCGCTTTGATAGTGGGAGGCAGTTTTGATGACAACATACGACCAAGTCTGAGCCTCCGCTGTGATAGTGGGAGGCGAGGGCTGGCAACTACAAGGACGACAAAATACGAAGGAATCTGAGCTTTCTGCTGTGATAGTGGGAGGCGAGGGCTGGCAACGACAAAGACGACAGAATACGACAGAATCTGAGCTTCCCGCTGTGATAGCGGGAGGCGAGGGCTGGCAACGACAAAGACAACAGAATACGACAGAATCTGAGCTTCCCGCTGTGATAGTGGGAGGCGACGGCTGGCGACGTCAAAGACAACAAAATCTGAGCCTCCTGCTGGATAGTGGAGGCGAGGGCTGGCGACCACAAAGGCGACAAAGTCTTAGCCTCATGCTGTGATAGTGGGAGGCGAGGGCTGGCGACGATAGTTCTTGAGGAGGCATGCCAAAAGTTTAGGTTAGAGGCTCTGGCCCGAAGGATTCTATTTCAGGCTTCCGGTCCACGTCAAAGCCCCATCAACATTCAACTTTGATATGTGCTCTCGATTGCCCCTCGTGCCCCCAATAATTTATCCGGATAAAATCCTGGGGATAAGTCCACTATGTATGCGCAACCCCTAAGAATATGCCTAATCAGCATAGTTTTGATCGAAATCACAGGCCCCTTCTTGGGTTGTTATGACGGATGCTTTCGAACTGGTGTATCGGGCTACCCACCTGGAAATACAAAGTCCGCAGTGCTCCCGCAAATGGAAGGAGCCGCCTCGGGTTCCCGAGCGTGTCCCTGGGCAGAGAGGTTATGACAGTTCTGGGTGAAGGGCATTGCTTCCCGCGCGTGTTCTGGTAGTTAAGAGAGACCCACATTCACAGCAGAAGTCAGCACAATCCTGGATGAAGTCGATAATTTCCAGGGCGCTCGTTGACAGAACGAAGCTGGCGGAGATAGGGGGACTCCAAGTCTTTGTTTGAGGCTGTCAGCGGCGCAAAGTTAGTAAAGTAATGCAATTTCCTTATCCACAGAAGTCAGCTTGATCGCCAGTTGGATCTCGTTTCGTTCTCTGGGCTTACTGCATTGCAATGCACCTTGTGGCACAGACAGTGGTCTGTCGGCCCAGCGGCTCTTCATAGGCCCGTGCACCCAAGCGCCAATCCCAAAGGCTCCGAAGAAGGACCCCCGCCTCTTTCCAAATCTGTTGAAAGGCCAGCCCGGAGCTCCGGGCCTTGGTCTCCTGCTGCACGCGGATCCCTCCGAAGGCAGCGCACACTGGGAGCGGATAGCTACGTCAGCGACGTTCCAGTTGTTCGAAGGTCGGGATTGCTATAGGGGCTCTTGAGTTTTTGGTGCGCGCTGCACTTTTGCGGCTGAATATGGAAGAATCTTGAGACTGTGGTCTTGCATACCCCCAGTGAAGGATGGGCCAAAGCTTTAACTCTTCCGCAATGATTGAGTTGGTGGACTTATGTGGGGCTCTTATTGCCGACGGACCGCAATTTTTCGAGTGTCTTGCCTGCAGGTTTGCTCATGCGTAAGCCTCGCATGAAAACCTTGGCAGGAGCGTCCATCCGCGAGGCAGCTGATGCAGCATGCGTTACTTGCTTGCAAGAGGACTTGATCTAGAGCATGGGCTTGACTAATCAAGCTGGACGCACTCCGGCTCAACATATCTCGATCGGTATGTTTGGGGCAGTAGAGACTCACAGAGTTGCCTGCTGGAGTTTTCCGCACTTCTCAGTTAGCTTCATGCAATTCGGGATCTGGAATTAGGCTTACATGCAATGGTGTCCTACCCGCCTCACACTTCTCATTTAGACTTCGTTGCCTTCCATGGGCTTCATGAAAACATGCTCTTCCATGGACTTGCTGATCATTTGCTTAAACGAGTTGCGCCCATCTTCAAGAGAAACTTGCAGATCTGATAATGGAAAGCCGTTGATGTCAGATTGGTAGCTCTTGTGCTTAACATCCAGACCAGGTTTATCGAGAGCTGGGAGACACCAGCACTAATTACCTGAGCGGCGGACCTGTTATGCTTGGGTTGGCCAGCATTTTGAACAAGACAGGTCCCTAGCAGGGCCTCTGACAATTCTAGGTTGGGTTTCAAGGTCGAGGGCTGAGGGATCTATTGTTCAGTTCTAAGGGTTTAGGGTTAAGGGCTTACGTATGGATCTAGGGTCACGAGCTTAGGGGTTGTGGCTGAGGGCTTAGGGAATCAGGGTTAAGGGCTTTGAGATTTAGCCTTAAGGGGCTTAGGGATTTAGGGTCTTGGGCGTAGGGATTTCGCCTTAAGGGCTGCAGGATGAGTTAAGGGCTCAAGGATGTGGGTCTTGAGCTTTGGGATAAGTGTTGATAGTCCATCCATCCAGCCATCCATCCGTCCGGCCGTCAATCCGTTCGTCCGTCCGTCCATCCACCTGCATATGCTGCATACATGCATGCATGCATGTCATATTAGGGGAACGTGCTTCGGAGTATGCTACAAATCTTCTTCTTTAGGTAGCCTGCAAAGTACGAGGCTGATCTTTGAAAAGGAAAAAGCTTTTAGGACAAAGGTTGCGATATCTTGGACTAAGGAAGACATGGCCAGGAATTGTCAGGTCTGTTGCACCAACAATCCCAGAAATGGGTTTGACTATGCTGTCATTCAACTACGGTTCAAGAAGTTCATGCTGGCCCATCCCATGATCCAATGAGGGCCCCGAAAAGCGGGATCCTTTGCAATTTGCACGGCCGTCGTCGGGTTCGTTGGCTCGAAGAAGCAGGAGGGCCTCCATACTCAGGACATGTTCTGATTTTGGAGTAATTAGGTAGCTTGTGTGTGTCTGTTCACGGATTCTGCCGACACCAGAAAACTCCGTACTGAGAGGAGAGTCTGAGGGGGCCCCTTGCTCTGCCTGTTCCCAGAGAATTGGTGTGGAAGGATGTTAGAAGCAGCCACCTGGGCTGCTCAAGCACCTATCGTGCTGGATTCGCTGTGTTCGGTTTAGTTTGCTTAAGGCTCAAGGCTTCACTGGGTGCCTGCATCAGCAACAAGGTAGCTGTGGGAGGTTGGCAGGAATGGATGATTGCAGCAGAATCAAGCAAATTATCCTTCCCTGAAGGAGAGGGCCGTGGAACGAGAAGCTTGTTCTTGGCCTCATGGCCTTGACAGGCTCAGTCTCCCTGCGATCCGATTGGGAGAGCCCCACAACCCTCTGTACAAACTTATTTTTCGATGGAACACTTGAGTGCTTCCATCATGCCTGCGGCTTTATTAATGAAGAGAAGCATGCCGGATTGAATAAAAAATGATGACCTGATCAGTGTTGTGTTTGCGGCATAAGATGCTCACCAACCTACTTGAAACATAGTTACTGTCTGGCCGGCACTTCGAAGGTCTAGCGTCGATTCGCGTAGGTCAGTTTGTGCGCAGTCTGAGTAGTCTCATCATCCTAGGAGGCAGGTAGACACCAATAGCATATTGATGAATATTAAGCTGCTCCATAATCCCTCAAGGTAATTGAGCACGAATTTCAACGGAGAATTTCGGGCCTAGCGGCATGGGCCGTGCTGGTCACCGTCCCCCCAGTCCCACCCGTCTATGCGCGACCATGTCCGCAGTCACCGTAAACATGTCCGCTGCCGTATGGCCCAGATTTGAGCCAATTTGATTTTAGCAATTCGCGTGCAAAACACAAGTGCATCTTGTTCGCCAGTTTGGGGGCCTAGTAACTAGCGCTTGAGGGCAACGGGGGCTACCGGGGTTCAATTGGGAGATTTGGGGATGCAGGTCCCAAAGCTATACCCGCTAAGGTTTCCGGTAGCTTAGGACTGAGGATGTAGGGATTGCCGGTGCAGGGTTCAGCTTGTGGGGGTTACGGCTGGGTTCATGTACGGTGTCAAATGTAGGGCTTGCTTCGAAGAATTATGAGAGGGATTTGCTAAACTTGACCCCATGAGCAGTCTTCAGGAAGTACTGCGGGATTCTGCGACGATGATGCATAAAGTATGTAAGGTCCAGAGGCTCAGGGGCCTAACGACAGACAGAGATACCTCGCTGCTCCATCCTTTGGGCAGTGTAGCGGATCGGGGTCCAAGTCGGTCGGTCCACTCCAAAGAACAAGATGCAAGTTGAGTTTACGTAATCTTGTGCGCGTGCACTTAAATTGCCAGTCCAACTTTTTTCACCGCGCGCGCTTGTTTAGATCACCCTCCCATCAATTCCTTGAGATGCTACTGAAGGCTGCTGCCTCCGATGGTATCGTCGGCTGCACGGAGGCGGATCTTCTTGTCACACAACAGCTCGTCATCGTCCTGGCCGAGGCGAGGCCCGCACAGACTGTGCCATGCATGGGTTGCAAAATTGCAAAAGAGGTAGATGCTTAGATCCAGAAGCGCTCTAAGGACCACAAGCGGATCAATGCTCGCTTACAGCGCATTGAGCAGGCCGTGACTTGCACATGTCGTATGACATGGCTCACCTGTTCTCCGCAGGGCTTTAGGGAGGGCTTTGTCGCATTACAACGTCCAGAAGGAGAGTACACTTTACCTGGTGTGCTACCTTCTGGGTGGCGCGCCCAAGCGGCTGCGCGCCTTTGCGGAGCTGCTTTGCCGTGGCCTTAGCTTTGCGCCTATGTTGGGCATGGCAGATCGCATGCCAAATTAATCTTGAGGGAGACGTGCGGGTCCCGCTCTGGTTCCAGATATGTGTGTATGAATATATATATATGTACCTCGACAGTCTTAGCAGGGTCGCTGCTGGTGCCGAAAGTTAGGGCTTGAAGCTGAGTTGCTGGATCTCCGCCCATGACTGGCCAGGTAAGTTTGAGGTTTAGGGCTTGAGGGTTTAGGGTTCCTGGGTGGACGTGCCTGATGTAGCGGGATTTGCGAATCAGGAGGGGGGGACCCAGCTCCTCTGCTGTGTTTGCTATGGGAAACTCACTACAACCTTTTTCCTGGCTTTTCGTAAAAACACCTTGTCTTGCTCTATCATCACCACTACTACTACTACTACCACTACTACTACTACTACCACCTA